CAATCATTCATTGTAACATTATTTGATTTGTAGATACTCATTTGTTACTAAATCATTTATTACTATTTATTAATATACCGTTTGTTAAAAATACAAAATTACATGTTTAGTAATTCTTCTTTATATTAAGCGAAAAAAAATATTGAAATAGAAGTGATTTTATAAAATCCCGGGTTCTAATAACATTGCTATTAGAAACAATACATCTTAATTATTTTTGGTGTTGGTGTTGGTGTTGGTGGTGGTGATATTAGAATGGTGATGCTTCTGGGGACGGCGACAGGGTGACATCTTTTACTGCAAACTTCATGCTCCAGCATTTTGTTTTATATTTTCGATTAAAATAGGTTTACAGAAAATGTAGCTCTAAAACCTAGGAATATTTTCCTACAAATATATTTTATATAGATATTATATAGAGAGAATGTAATCTTTTCACGAGTATAAAATCGAAAATTAATTTGCTGAACTTGAGATACTATTAATTTCAGGCTGAAGTAATTATACAATAAAATTTAAAATAAAAGATTTTATCACCAGGTTTCAATATATACCATCTATTAATATTTATTGACATTTGAATTAATCAGTGTCAACTTTAAACTAAATCTGAATATAAATTTTCATACTGTATTATATTGATAATCTAGTCTATACTCCATAGCAGTTTAAATACGAAACTTTCAATAAAGTGCAATACGGTTAGTAAAGTAACTTTGATTATCCAGATGAATGGGACATAATGGAAAATCACACGCAAGAAGGGACCATGGCTGGAATGATTATGAAAAACTTACTGTAACCGGTCGACTATTATTGAATGATACTTCACCCCGTGCTCTAGAGTTGGGTGGTCTGTCATTGAGTCAAGTGGTGTGATTTCGATTCTTCGCTTGTACTTGACAAGGATTAGGGTTGCCTGTCCAACTGCGTGCGTTTTCTCCGGGTCCTCCGGTTTCCTCCCACTGCTAACGACCCCTACGCACAAGCGTATTATTAAAATAGAGCTGAGCAATGTGTTAGTCCCGAAATGACATAGATTGTATCGAATGTACATTAAACCACATCCCACACCCCTCTATCTTTTGCTTTCTGCTATCAATGGTACCTAAAGGACACAGTCTTTAAACTTTTGGAAAAATTGTGACAGTGTTATCATTTCATTTCAGTGAAAGCAATCTTCGTGAATATTATCTCCAATCTCGACAAAAAGACATCTACTGTATGGGTACTATTAGACTTACCTAGTTCTTTGGTGCCTAATTAAATGTTTAGGAAAGGTTTAGCTCATATCTAATAAATTAAACCAATAGTCAGCAGTCAATATTGGTTTGTATTCCACAGGGCTCTGTGCTGAGTCCAGTGTTGTTTACGGCATATGTATACATTTTTTTTAAAACACGACATTGGCACTCACCTGTATGCAGTCTACAGTCTACATTTAGACTAATTGTCATTAAAAAGAGAAAATGAACCCGGTGGATAAAATTCAGCAGTGTATAAGGGGCATCGGAGTCGGAATGATAATAGTGTAGTACTTCCGATGGGGTCAAAACTGGACTAATTCAACTAATAACAAAGACTCTCTCCATTGATGACACCGATATACATTTTTCCTAAACCTACAATGACCCTGGGTGTAGCATTTGGCCAGGAACTAAACATGAAAATAATTGTATAGTTAATTTTCATATTTATAATATTGGAAAACTAAGAGCCTATATTGATAAAGATATAACTGAAATGTTAATATGCTCCTGTGTTTTGTGTCTAAACTGGTTTATTGTAATCCTCTCCTCAACCAGCTGCCCAACTCCTACTGATCCTGAATCGAGTTTTATTTTAACAAAATATACTGATTCTCTGTGAACGACAAGAAACTGTCGCGGCTTACAATTGTTTTTGTTTTCATTTGGCCGACTACAGATTTATTTCGGCTTTGTGTCGAAGAAAGGCATTATTAGCAGGTCCAAGGAGAGGGGTGTGCAGTTTGTATACATCGCTCTGGGGCCCATCAAGCCACAGGAGGTTTATGTCTTATAATTAATATTTTTTGTCGGCATGGCCGGTATTTGTGTCACAGAGCCCCGAACCGACCCCCGATGCCCTACCTCTGGCAGGGGTAAAGTTTGAAACTAGCCCAATTATGGCAGGGGAGCAGGTGGGGGGATCTTGATATGGATGAGTGATGATGTTCGTGACCATAATCACCATATATGTATTGATGCCCGTGATGGGAAATCGTTGGTCTATTGTTTTCTATGTGAAAAATGTTTTGTTGCACCCCCAGGCTACTGTAAAATTATATTACAGAGATAATTCATATGCAATAAAAGATACGCCTTAGTAAATCATTATTCTACCCGCGGCTCATGCAATAATCATTAACATTTATTACTTGGGCGCTTTAAGAAACAGAAAAATTACTTATTACTGTGGAGACAAGCATTGTGAATTTATAATTGTTGGAATACTTTTTCTACGGTTCAATAAATCGAAAATATATATGATATTTGTTCTATAAACCCGTATAAAATGTCGGGTTTAAATGAAGAAGGTCCCTTACGAGGACTCTCTCAATCCACACCCATCGCTACTAGCGGCAAAGATGAAAAGTGTGTTTTAAACACAATTGAGCAAAACCGAGCTTGGTGAGGAATGTTTAAAACTACAGTGTGTGTAAGGAAGGCTTACGACAGTGTCAAAAATATTATACAGTCCAGGTTCTCTGGATTTATTGTAGTTAGGGGTGGCCAACCTTTTATTAATAATAATAATGACTTTTTTTTTAAAGAAGTGTTGAAAATTAGGCTTTAATAGCCTTTCTAACACCCTGTCCATTATAGAAAAAATAATACAAAAGATACAGACTGATAATTAAATAACACACCACACTAATTTACAATAGAGGGGAAACATGTACAAAATCAGTTATAAATATTAAATACAGTATATATGCGAGTTCATAAAACAGAAATTTAAAAACATAGATATAACATGTATTAACAAATATACAATATTTTCATGCTTATAAAATGGAGATAGACAGAGATAAGGGGGGGGGGGGAGATAATATATTTGGAGTAGATTTAAGGTAAAAAAGAAGGGTTTTTTTTCCTGAAAAGATTCAAGTTATTTAACAAAAAATTCCATAGTTTGGGGACTTTAAAGCGTATACTGCTTTTGACATTGACTTTAGATATCATGCACCCAATTGTTCACACACAAATTAAGCTGCGCTATACAACGCTTACAATATGTTCCAACTGTTCACACACAAATTAAGCTGCGCTACACAACGCTTGCAATCTGTTTAGAATATACTGATCTATATTTTGAACTCTAAAAAAGAAACGAAATAGGATCTGTGTTTTAATCAGAGTGACAACGCTTGTACTCCACTCTACTCCAATATACAAAAGTCCATCTTTGTTATGATTCATTAAGCATATTTTTTTTTAAAACTCAAAACAGATTACGCGAAGGAGGTAGCATTCACGATCACTAAAAGGGATGTGCACGAAATAGTAAAGTAGTAAAATAATAAGTAGGCCTGCTACCTTACTTTAAAGATATATTCCCATTGGTCATGTCCAGTAAAAGTATATATGAAAAGTAGGGCCATCCAACTTTATAAGAAAAAGGGGGGTTGGATGGTCGAGTGGTTAGCACGTGCGCGCTGTATCATAAGACCTGTCATTGAGTAAACTGGCGTGGTTTCGAATCCCCGGTTGTACGTGACAAGGTGTAGGGTCGCCTGTCCAACCTCGTGGGTTTTCTCCGGGCTATCCGGTTTCCTCCCACTGCTAAAGACCCCTACGCGCAAGCGAATTATTGAAATAAAATTAAACCATGTGTTAGTCCCGAAATGACCTAGTTTGTGTCGAGTGGACGTTAAACCCCATTTCTCTCTCTCTTATAAGAAAAATACTAGTTTTACTTGGGATTTGATATTTATGGTAAATGGACAGCCATTAAAGAAAACATCGTCTTTAATATGCAATAAGTTCTCCCCCGGCTTCGCACCCGTTCCTATAGTTACGTAACACAAATATGCCTACTTTTTATAGATTTTGTATAGCTTGGGTTATTTCCTCGCGAATACACTGTTTTGAGGGGGATTTGACGCACATACTGATAGATTGAATAATTTGATTCATTGACAGACCGTATGATACAGCTAACGTGCTAACCATTCGCCCCCCCCCCCCCCCCGTTTTTAGTCCAAATATATATCATCGAAGCCTCCATGTCGTACATGGAAAGACATCTTTAATATTACCACAGGCATGCAACGCGCCTCTTAATATTACATAATGTAATTAATAGATTTTGCATATTATGAAATTGATAATGTAATTCATTTACGCATATAACGTTATGTCCACGCAGTTTAACGGTCTATATATGAGTAAGGCTACGGTAAGTACTGCTACAGAAATGTGTCTTGATTACAAGCTGCAGTTAGTTGTGCAACTAACTGCAGCTTGTAACCAAGACACATTTCTGTACCAGTACGTACCGTAGCCTTACCCAATGTGCAGTCAATAATGTACTCAATACCCCCCCACTCAAAAAAAAAGAGTTCAAAATAGAGCCGTCTTGTTCAGTTTAAAATGTTTTAAGCAACTCTTACCCAATATGTAATGTTTTGTTTTTTTAAGTAGGCTTTAACTTAAAATATAAGATAACAAACGTGCATATATGTATTCTAGCTATATATAGTGTGAAATCTATGTAGGTTAAGTGATCGAGATATTAAATCAATATCTGGGTCGGTTTAAGCGAGTCGTAACCATTACAATAATTCCACATCCATTTTCACGTAGTATCATATTTATACTTTATTAAATTGCACGTTTACCTTCAGCCCCTAACAGCAACTGGTTGAAATTTGAGTAAAAATATTTCAATAGCAACAATAGCATGTAGCATGTAGTCAAGACCATTGAGTGAAGAGGTTTAATAAAAATATCGATGAGTCGGGTGGTATCCTAGATTATCCAGTCTACTATTGCGAAACTAAACACTGTCAGCACCTGCGAAATAGTATGATATTAAAAAGGATAAACTAGACAAGGCATTAAAAGAACTCGTTGTAATATTGACTTCTTTTTAGTTTAACAAATGATGGGAATATATCTAACTGTTACCTGGGCGTAAGACTTGTCGTTACATACAGGTATGTATGCTGACCTACTTTACCAATCTACCTGTACAGTACACGACTGACAAAGAATGTCATTCTCACAATATATCCATGTCAATCTACATTTTATTTCAGTCTTGTAATACATAAGATAGGAGATAAAAGTGTTCCGTTTTATGTTACGCAGTGTGGTGAAAATGCAACCTGTTTATGTATAATAATGAGCCTCTATTTAAGATCGCTATAATAATTAATATTGATCATTAAATGGATATATTCTTTATTAAGAGTTATATAATTCAAGCAAATATTTAGCAACTGAAACCGAAGCTAAATGGTGGCAATGGTATATTAATACCTTGACCAACAAATTTAAAATATCGGAGAGAACTGCAAAGTCATTGACACAGCCACGCCTTTTTTTTATTATCCAGTAATTCATGTAACAAAATTTCTCTATTTAAATCGACTATTCATACACATCTAGTCCTTACGACAAGCTGACAATATGATAGTTTAAAGCAGAATGCATAAACCTTTCACGTTTTATTTGAAATTCACAACTGAGTTGAATTTAAAGTAGCTAATAACTCAATATCAAAAATCTTTAATTTCACTTCCAACTAAATAATGTACGTGTAAACTTTGTATTAAATAAGCTATATGATACAGTCTTTACATGTAAACTGTATATAAACTACTTCATACGGTGTTAACATGTAAACTTTGTATAAGCTATATCTTATGATATTTTATGTAAACTTTATACGCTACATTATACGGCCTAAACATGTATACGGTATATAAGCTACATCACACGATTTTAACATGTAAACTTTATAAGCTACATTATACAGTCTTAACATGTACACTTTATATAACCTACATCATACGGTCTAAACATGTAAACTTTATATAACCTACATTATACTATTTTAAAATGTAAACTTTTTATAAGCTACATCAATACAGTCTTAACATGTAAATTTTGTATAAGCTACAGCATACGACCCTAACATGTAAACTTTATATAAGCTACATCATACGGTCATAACGTTTAAACTTTATACTTGAAATTGAATTAAAAGCTTCCAGATGGGTTAGTTATATTTAATCATATTTAATCTTTTGTTCGGGGTAAAATATTTGCTGCAGTTTACAAAAAAAAACTATTCGGTATCAGCTCAGTCTACCTATTGCAGGTTTTCTTTAGGCCTTAAATATTATCTAAATTATTAATTAGCCATTAATTAACTTATCAAGACCATAATCAACCCTCGATGCTATCGTTAGTCTGCGATATTTAGTTAATTTGAATACGTTTTGTGATAGATGAATTAACGTAAAAATGATAACCGAGAGTTTGTTTATTATCCTACCAACGGTAGTTATGACGACCGACGCTAGCCTGAAATTGAATCACTAATATCGCGGTTCAGAGTGAAGCAATTTGACTGAAATTTTCAGAATATTTTGTTTACGTTACCTATGTTTTACCTATTACAATTAGCTGCCGGCTCTTTATCTAATCTTACCTAACGCCCCTTTAAAATGATATAAACCATACACAAACCGATGGATAAATTAAAAGGCCGTCTCTCACAGAAAATAAACACGATAGCAGCCGGTTTTATAACAGTATTCAGTCTAACTACTTCCTTTTGGGTATTCACCTTCTGCTACAAATTGAGCCCATATAGCCCGTGCGATAACAAATTTCACTCATATATACCTATGATTACTACCATTTTTTTAAAATATGTATATTATTATATTATAGCCATTTGTTTATTGTAATTCTTTGATTGATTATCCATGAATTATTTATATATCTTTTTTGTATATATCCTTTGTGTTTACAAGTTCGAATTTAAGTTAGCATGACCCCAACAAGGAAGATAAATTTATAACGAAGAAAGACTGCAATCAAATCAACGCATTCAACATTTACACAAATCTCCACTTTAAGTTTTGATCTAGTTTACGTCTAAAATCAACAAGGGTGTGCTCGGGTCTATTGTTACACGTGTTGAATAATAATCAATCGAAAATCAGGGTTTTTTTTGTCCAATACAGTCAGGTTGTTGAGCATTAAGAAAACCAAACTAGATATCAATAATCATAACGATTTCTATTCTTGTCATTTGGTTTATTGTTTTGGCTAAAATTGAGGGTAGATTTTATATTAGATTAAAAAATGGCGATATAGACAATATATCAGATTAACAAATGGCGATACAGACAATATATCAGATTAACAAATGGCGATATAGACAATATATCAGATTAACAAATAATGACATAGATAATTTTAATAATATGGTAATCACAATTTGCTATTTATCTATTGTCTAGATGATGTCAGCTGTATTTTATGTTTTGTTGATATTCATCAGTATAAATCTAGGTGAGTGAAGTTTTGTTTTAACAACCAACTATAATAAAGAGATACATTATTTGAATAAATTTGAAAGATGCTTAACTCTTTTGAATGTAAATAACGAAGACGGAAGAGGTTGGCGGGATGGGGTCGGGCGGGATGGGTGAGGGGAGGTGTTTGCTGGAGTATGCTTGGGAGTAAATTATAATAAATAATTAAATTATTTGACTTACTCGAAATATGAAAATACTATTAAAGATGTTCAATGATTTTGAATGTAAATAACTTTCGTTTAAATGTATGTTCCTTCAAGGATAACTTGGACATCGTTCCGACCCATAAAACATATTTTTGTTATGTCTAAATACAATCGAACAACCTGTAAAAATTAAGTTATAGACTCAATTGTTAGCCCACACTTAATAGAACCATTCTGTGAGTATTTATAGATTTTAAGTCAATAAAGAGCCATAATTTGAAAAAAAAATATTGAAAGGAATGAATCCCACAGGAAGAGGAATCTGATCTGTAACTCTTCGATATACAGCAGTGTACCGACCTTCAATCAAATAACCTGAATACAATCGTCTTGAACTACATTAAAACTATACTTTTTACAAATTCTTTGACAACGCGGCACTAAAGGATTCGCATTTTTATTTAAAAGGCATAGATTTATCTATTCTATTACTATTCTTTATAGAATAATCAAAATCATGTTTTATATTTGATATATTATAATTTAAATGTTAAACAGACTCGCTCCTATCAATGTATTTCCAAAAATGAATATGAATATCATGCAATCTCATTTTTATTAAATAACTTAAAAAATATTTTCAAAGTGTAAAATTTCAACCATTTCTGCTTCAGCCAATATTGTCTGAATTTAACTGAACTACATGTAATTAAATTACTGCTTTCCGTATATGTATCTGAGATGGTAATTGATTAGCATTTCTAGTATGTGATTCAAGTCATGTTTTGATAATCCTAAATTTTACATCAATGCGTATTAGAGAATACCGCCCTAGTTCAGCGAGTACTACTGGTTCATATGGACATTTAAAAGTACAATTGCTCAAAATTAAAAGTAAGTTGACTAATATAAAGTTACGTCGACCTATATGGGCAATCAATGTATTAAATATCCTATATGTTAGATTTAGATAAAGAGCTAGCCGTTCTTGTCATAATAGTTCAAAATAGATAATATAAAATAAATATTGCTCTTATCTGAGCGAAGGTATCCTGTTTCAAGTACCATTGTTAAGAGAGAGAGAGAGAGAGAGAGAGAGAGAGCTGGTTTAACGCCCACTTGGCACAAACTAGGTCATTTCGGGACTAACATATGGTAGAACCCCATGAAATGGGATCAGTCGGTTAAGCGTAAAAACAGGTATTATTTGGTGTCATGTTTTGAGAGAATCTCGATTGGTGACAATCTAATTGAAACATATATCTATATTTCGTTTCTTTTTTATACTTTTGATGGCCTACACTACAGTAAAGACAAGTAAAATCGAAACTTTGAACTATAAAAACGAAACGAAATTGGATCTGTGTTTTAATCAGATTGGATTGGTGACCACTATGGATAAGAAAGTGAATGTTACAATAGCAGGTTGGACTGTGTGCTATAAATAACAAACATCTTATGAATTAATTAATGCTTAACACGATCATAACTTATCAATTAGAAATCACTAGTAAAAATGCTAATATTTCGATGTATTTTGTTAGAGAGGAAATGGGCTTGAACGATACCAAAATTAACATAAGTTAGCAGAAGATGCTTTAGTATAGTTACAAAATAGATCTGTTAGAGATATGAAATTTAATACTGGGTTGTGAGATATTATGATTCGAACTTCCAACACCTTGTGCCCTTTTGTTACTCAAAACTCTTTACTATTTCAGTCTATGGATATGATAACTTGTATCCGACTTGTGTAGATACGGAAGAAGAAGCGAAACGTTTCAGAACAAGACAAAATTTTGTTTTTGCTGATAACAAACCTCGCTTCATATCATCTGATGCTCTCAATATAACCAGTGCTAGAAGGTAAGATTTCGGAGATATCCTACTTCATCACTCCTGTATGTTGAAATATTGATGCCATGAGCTACAGCTGTTTCCAGATCATTTTTAAAATCTTTCAATGAAGATAGTAATAGATCCTACTGAATAAATTAAATAAATCGAACTTTGGTAGAATAAATCAAGGGTTTATTACATGACCAGAAACACGATGCACTAATCTCGTTAGACCCAAAACATCATGTAATAAACTCGTAAGATCAGAAACATCATGAAATAAACTCTCAAGACCTTGAACATCAGGCAACAAACTCCTAAGACCAGGAACGTCATGCAATAAATTCTAAGACACAAAACATCATGCAATAAACTCGTAAGATCAGAAACACCATGAAATAAACTCGTAAGACCTTGAACATCAGGCAATGAACTGGTAAGACCAGGAAGGTCATGTAATAAACTCGTAAGACGTGGAACATCATGCAATAGACTATTAACACGTGAAACATCATGCAAAAAAACCCTCGTAAACTCCTAAGACCTGGAACAACATGTGATAAACTCTTAAGACCAAAAACTTCATGAGAAATAAACTCCTAAGACCTGGAACATCATGTGATAAACTCTTAAGACCAAAAACTTCATGAAATAAACTTGTAAGACAATGAGCACCATGTGATAACTCGTTAGACCAAAAACATCATGAAATAAACTCGCAAGACCGGGAATTTGATGCAATAAAACCTGTAAGAACAGGAACATCATGAAATCAACTCGTAAGAAACGTAAGGCCATGCAAAAAGACCTGAAACGCCATGCAATAAACTCGTCAGACCTGACACGTTATGCATTAAACTCGTAAGATTAGGAACATCATGAAATGAACTCGTAAGACCAAAAGCATCACGCAATAAACTCGTAAGGTCTGAAACGTCATGCAATTAACTCGTTAGATCAGGAACATCATGCAATAAAATCGTTAGGACCGAAACACCATTCAATAAATCCCTGTTTTATTCTGTTCAGCGGAAACTACATTTCTCTTTCTGCCTGCATCAATTTACCATCCAGTAGTTACCTAAAGCAGTTTATCCAATGGACTGTTGTCAATCTCTATCCTTTTCAAGTTCTTAAAATCTACCAGCAATTTTCCATTTGTTCAGATATTTCCTAGAAAACCATTATCATATGAATGCCTACGAAACTAAACATTCCCGAAGCAATGGTCCAAACGATCGATCTCTCTAATCAAGCAAATCTATCTGACGAATATGATCAAACTGGTCAGTCTAAAAATTCAGAAACAAATACCTATTTGATTTTTGTCGTCATTTAGGATGACGGGGTTGGGATGGCCTAGTGGTCTAGAGTGTAGCGCTTCGAGCTCTGACTGTAGGTCAGTTCTGACTTGCGGTCGTAGTTTCGATCCCTCGAGGGTTTACTCCGGGTATCCCGGGTTTCTTCGCACAGGAAAGACCCTTTAGCATGTTAAAATAAGACAACTTGACTGCGATATCACCATTATAGGTTGGGTATACATTATTTTTTTTTTATTTCAGAAATCAATATTGCATTTGGTATTTTCGTTATTTAATATATAGTTTAAAAATCAGTTTTGAGGAGTTTAACCTTACTGATGGCATTGGATGTCCAACGGAATATCTGGCTTTTAAGTTCAACGGTAAGACGAATTATTGTGGCATTCACAAGAACTCTCAGAATTGAAATATTGGAATCATTGTCATTTTATTTTGTAAATGTCATTCCTGCAATATGCTAGTCTGTGTACATAATATTATTTTGAATTTTTGTTTTAAGAGCATCTGACAAATTTGAATGAGAAAGTAACTTAATTATTTATCAAAATTTCCAATTCTGTCATCATTGTGATAGATTAATTATAAATGATTAAGACATCGTACACGAATTTTATCGGAAGAAACTAGTTTGGACATGCTTTCTATTTATCTCACCAAATCCTTTTGAAACCGGTTTTGGTTTACGAAACTGACCAAATCATAGCTGTGGAGAGGTTTGTTCTGTTTTACTTGCATATAAACATGATGGATATCAAATATATTAATAAACCTATTAGTCCCAAAGATATACATGCCTAACCCAAGTTACGGCTATTTGAAGTGTGCATTTATTCCTATTGATAAAGTCCCAAAAAACACTCAGCATACGTTACATGTCATGTACGATCTGAAAATTTATTAATGTTGATGTTTTGCTAATGATGGATTGTTGGCCATTTTTAATATAGTATGTACATTTTTTGCAGGTGATATTCGGAAAGATTTGAAATTTTGTGGAACATCCTATCCGAAGGTGCTTTATCTCGATCAATACTATATTAAAATAATTTACAAATTTAATCCGGATATTTTTTTGCCTGGAAAAGGATTTAGATTACGGATTGAAGAGAGTGAGTTTTACTACATAATTATGAAAACAAATAGGAAATGAAATAAAATCGGATTTAACGTCCTAATTTGCGGCACCGATCGGCTTTTGAAGAATGGCATACTGTGTGTACTGTGTGATACGAGGGAAATTTTGTCCAGACAGCGGCGCTAAGGCCTAGTCTTATTTTCTCGGTTTTTATCCCATTTGAACGATTCGACACCGTCTTTGCCAGGCCTTCCGTCCTACACCACTGACATGGAGAAACCGCACCGAAAAATCCCGAGAAACTCCCTGGGCGAATACCGGAAGTGAATCCGAGACCTTCTGGTTAGCGAGCCAGCGATACACTGAGCCACCGTGGCCCCCGAAAACAAATACGAAGCATAAAAATTTAGGATTAAACATACATTATGCAAGAGCAAAATCTGTCTATTGCAGGTCTTTCTTTAGACCTGAAATGTTATCTAAATTATTAATTAGACATTAATTAACCTATCCAGACCATAATCAACTCTAGATGGCATTGCTAGCCTATGCGATCTTAAATCGTGAAGGATTACATTATCTATTTTTAAACTATTATAGCGGGAATGGCCATATCTTTGTCTAAATCTTACATAATGCATCCTTAACTTACTGTTATTTAGAATAATATTTAAGTTTAATCAGAAATCACGGATATAGAAATACCAATTAACAGCCAAATATCATTGGGTGTGGAAGAAGCTGTGGGTGACAATTTTTCAGTTGTAGTTGTCTCTTCCTATTTCATCCATTGATAGATAACTGGGCCAGTTCGCAAAATTATACAAACATGTATATTATCAATCCTTCTCATCAGATGTGCCATTGTATATAAAACATTTTAGATTTAACAATAGAAGAGACATTATATTCAGTTGGAAAGCATTTATTTTCTAACATAATATAGATACCAATGTATGAATATATAATTAATATATTAAATATTTCAGGCTCGGCACTATGTGAAACCAATCAACAATTAAATGTTGGAAACACTCCATTATACATTACTTCACCTGCATATCCAGCTTCTGAAGGTAACTACGGAAGGTACGTATTAACCGACGTATGTCCATATTATCTGAAACCTTAAAATGAGTCTAAAAGCACATAAGAATGTATGTAAAGTGATTTATATTCAGTTGTTATGTCTAATCAATTATGTTCGGTGAGAAACGTGAAGAGTCCAAATTGAAGGGCAGTCGTTTACTCCTGCTTAGTTAAAATTATCATTTTGTCCTCTGTTAATCAGCCATCGTCTTGATTATCATTCTGTCCTCTGTTAATCAGCCATTGTCTTGATGGATAGGTATTACTTTGTTCATTACAAATGGCGCGCGAAACCATCAACATTGATTGAAATGGGCCAATGTTGTTAATTTCAAAAGAATTAAATAAAGTGTAGTCCGCCATCAAACGAGTAGAGTGTTACATGTAATGAGTATTGTGAGATAATCGACGAAGAAATGTCTTCGGCGAGTCAAAACAATATGGCGCGTGATATACTTTGTATATGGTATAAATATGCGAGACAAGATAATATCAGAAATTTTAATCCCTTCAAGTGCCAGTGAGAATGCATGATAACGAAGTGTCCAAGGGGTTTATATTAAAATATTTTGTTGCTAAGGGCTTTGTTAACAACCTTAAACTAAGTTGCTCTTTCTTACGTTGATCATAGTTTTCCGCGCTCATGTGCTATTTCACCATATATTTATCTTGCATTATACCAACTTACCTCCAGTTATAATCCCTTTTCTTAAAAGTTATTGAAATAAAATTGAACCATATTTTAATCCCGAAATGACCTAGACGTTAAACACCCCCCCCCCCACACCCCCTCCGCCCCTCTCTCCATAAATTTGCTGACCGTATACAGTCCATACATTAAATTAGGTGATTATTCATTTGCATATTTCAGAGAGATCGATTGTAGCTGGGAATTTAACGCCACTGACGAGAAAGAAGTAATTCTTCTCGAATTCTTGCTTTTCGACCCAAAGATTTTGAAATATTCCGAAACGGCTTATGACAAATCCATATGTTATATCAATGGCTTGGAGGTTCAAGGAAGTATGTTTTTATTTTATATCCGTAATTTGTCACTTTACAAGTGATTTAAATCCACTGGTGGTCTTTTCCATTTGTTTTCACGTGAACAAAGTCATAAAGACGATAGGAAATAATCACGACGAAAAATATCGGGAACGAACCCGAGACCTCCTAGTGAAAGAGTCGATCGTCCTACTCACTGGGCCACGAAGGAAAGCTAATTCTTCATAATTTGTTCATTGAGTAGTATTACTATAGTTTGAAATAAATAAAATTGTTTCGCTGTCCCATGTTATTACCTAAATGACTTAGTCTGTGTTGAGACTGCCTTAAAACTACATCTATCTCTGATATTATTATTTATGAATCTATTTCAGATAAAAAATATATTAACTTGTGTGATGTAGAGTACAATAAATTGATTATAAAAACGACCAACAGCACAGTATCAATTCGTTTTAGAAAAAAGAGCTATGATTCTCATCGTAATGTTTTCATTATTAGATATTACAGTGTTCCTAAATGTAAGTTTCATTTTTCATAATTATTATTTTTAGTATTGTTATAGCATATTTATAATGCGTCCTTTCACATCACGTGTTCAGAAACACATTACAAAGTGGCAATATAATTCTCCCCCCCCCCCCAAATTATGGACATGTTAAAACAAAAAGTTGTAAATACAGTCAGTTAAAATCTTCTTTAAATAAATGTGTTTTAAGCTGGTTTTTTTTAAATAGAATATACACTAAAAGACCGATTTATTTCATAAAACAGGAGCTTAAAAACTAAAAGGTGCTGACCATAAGAGGCTAGTAAACAGTTTGGGGCTTTAAAATATTAAAATTATACCCGTATACCAGTATTTTTATATGGGCATGAAACGCCTTACTTTCTGAGCCGTAGGGGATTTCGATATGCTCCAAAACTGAGTAATAATCAATACTTAAACAATTACAAAAAAGATATTATATTTATAAAATATTCACATTATAAATAAAAGATAGTTTATCTGTTGTAACAAGTCATTGACAAAACCAACCTGATTTTCAATAGGAGCAGTTCAGACTCCAATGGGTTTTATTCATTGCTCGTCTCAGAAAGACCATAAGTACATAGCCACAGAGAACTGCGCTGAAAAATATGATATTCTCAATCCATATATTAGTTGATCACCTCAAATAAAGATTTCAGATAAATTTCAATTTTGCAAATCCGCCAAAATTTTCAGAAATTTCGGTATATATAGAATATACCATTTTTTGCATAGCATAGGGTATTGGTTAATTTCATCTATAACTATTTTAACACTGGACAGAATAAAAGACATTTATCAGAATTATCAAAGTATGGAAACACAACTTGTATAAAAGTAAATAAAATAGCTATATAGTTAACACTCTAAAAGACAATGTTCTTCGTTATCGGTACAATAGAACCAAAGCCGGGTCTCAACGGGGATTACCTCATACCGCATACCGCTCAGTTTCTACTCCGCAATTCAATTTCGCCAGAGAAGTGTGATGGGAGGGAATAATATTTCCCGTTACATATTTCGCGGGTTCGTACACATGCTTAAACAAACTATAGGACCGGAACTTATTATGTCTTGGCCGAATTTAGCACTAACATGGGTTACATCATTAAACCAAACAAGTGGCTTTTCATATCTTTATTTATATCTAATGTATTTAAGTGATTCTTAACACTAAAACTGGGCGAACATGTATAGGCACCCAGCCCATGCCCCTGTTAACCGCAGCATTTGTGTAATACTATATGTCTGTAGGGGTTATTTCAGTTCTATGAAAGATGCTCTGATATTGAAATCGTTAAACAAATGGGTGACAGGTAGATTTAGGCTAATTAGGTACCTTGTATTATTTTACCATTTTCTTAGACTAACTCACTTACAGTTCTGCCACCATCCATTTCTGGAAGTGGGTTACTGTTGTCCAGTCATCTGGTGCACAGATTAGTCCAATTAAATAAAATAAAGTTGACGTAAGAGAGTGCCCAAATGAAACACTTACCCAAATATGGCAATGACCAGCCCAAAAAGTCGACGTTTCGAAACGTTTTATATAGATTAAAGAGCGCGATTAAATTTGCTACTGACATCATGCGGGCTCTTAAAGACATACCCACAGCCTTCCCGCTTTAGATGCCGAGATAAAGACAACAAGCTGTGTTCATAGAGAGACATACCTTTAGCGCGTTGGCTTAGAGGCCGTGGGAGATCATGTTGATCTTTGAGTGTCACATTTCCAGCGTATCTTGCCTGTTGCATTCCCAGACATTATGCCAGCGTCATCATTTGCGACATAAGATAACATGATTGTGTGCTCTTTTTATAGATGACTACGGGTGTACTGGACAGACGGATAGCAAAACTTTAACAGCATACAGAGGTCGCTCACAAGTGGTAAATGTTATAGGGACAAGGTATGTAAGAAATCGAAACGAAATAATTATTTCAATCAATAAAACTGACTATTTTCAATTTTAATAGACTATTTTAAAATCTATTCTGTTAATCTAAGTATTTTGAAAGACTATTCTCCAATCTACTCAGCTAATCTTTGTATTTTAAGAGATTATTCTTCAATCTATTCTTTTTATTTAGGTAAACATTCAGAGAATAAGTGACATTGTAAACATTGTGAGAATAAACTTTAAAAATATTTTATTCAGTGCCCTGAACTATTAACACACTGCTTTGTTATAGAAATGTGTTATCTTAAATATGAGATATTTGATCAATTTCGAGAGAACCCCCTTTTATTTTGCTACTGTATTTTATCTAATCATATAACACACCCAGTTAGTGTTCATCGGGTCCGTGATAAAATAGACAATAGAATGTTTGAGATATAGACCAAAAGAAGTTTGAAATAGACAAATTGTGCACATAGGCCACATAAAACGCTAAAATATTAAATATCAGGGGTTGGCTAACTTTCAAGGGACCAGACTGCAATCGCATAGCACGGCCCGATTTCTGCAATAAAAGGGTTGTTTTTTGTCCCATGTCATCCAGATTTTCCGGCGTGCTGGCAAGGACAGCTGTCTAGTCATTCGGATGGGATGAGAACCGAAGTCCTGTGTATACATTGGCGTGCACGTAAAAGATCTTGACAGTTGGAATTCAATATAAGAGTAGGCCGTAGTGCCGCTGTCCAGGCAAAATGTCCCTCATAGCACACTGTATGGCGTATGCCTATCTTCATTAGCCCAGTTCGTAGCAGAACAATAGGGCGTTAAACCCCATTTCATTTCATTTCATTTATATATCTACCTGTCACAAAACAACATTGCACGCTCATAAATCTGAAGCACAATATATACCTATAGTTTAATAATTGTTTTTCATTTTACAGCGGTAAAATTTGCTCCTGGAATATAGAAGCTGAAAATCCTTCTGATGTGATCATATATGAGCTTCTGTCATATGCAACAAAAACATATAACTGTTATTTAAGACTTCGCATCACTGAAGAGAATAATCAAGGTAATTAATTAGGGTTATTTGTTGTTGGGGATGGGGAGATGACTAAAATGCTTGATCATCTATCCACTAACGCATGGCATGGGCGAATAAATCAAAATATATCTTGGAGATATGTCTTTAAGAAAACCTATAGACAAATGCTTACTAATCACATTTAAGTTTTCAGTTCATAAAAACGTCGTTTCAATTAAGAATAATACTCAATAATAAAATTTCAAGGAACATATATAAGAGGGCTGGGTGAAAAGTTCTAAGCCTATCTGTGAAAGGCATGTTCAAAGTCGGTGGTTTCCATTTATTTTTCTACATAGTTCCATTCGAGGTGTACACATTTTTGCCAGCGATGTTGCGTCGAGGCCTGGATGCCGGCCAGGAAGAAATTTTATTCGGTCACCCTTAAATAATGAGGTCATTATTACTACGGAAATGAAGCCCGACTAGTTCCGTTTTCAGTTTTGGAAACAGGTCTCTTCCATGGTTACAAATCTGGCAAAATATTACCAGGACCTGCTTCAAAACGGCGCAGATTGTCACGGAAAGTCAGGAATCTAACACGTTTCTGATCCGCAGTCAAGAGCTTTGACACCCATCTTGTAGATACTTTTGTCATTCCTAAGTCGTTGGCGATAATGAGCTTAACTCTCTCATGGGAGGTGGTCAATCGTCGATCAGCCATCTCCATGTCATGCACCCGGGTAATGTTTTCTGCAATGGGTGATGATGTTGGCCTCCCAGGACGCGGGTCGTCGTCAAGACTCTCTCTGTCACGCTTAAATTCCGCAGTCCAATTCCGCATAATTCCTAAAGTTGAGACCATGTCGGCATGTATCTGTTTTGGGGTTATTCCTTTCAGTTGCAGGAACTTGATGACTGTCCTATAGCCAGTTTTGTCCATTTTTGGTGATTTCAATGAGTAGGTTTATAAAATAATCTGGTACGAAGACAATAGTAACACTACAGCTGCAGTTCTTATATGTCTATGATTCATTCCACGATTTTACATGCTGGTGGCCAAAACTTGTGTCAAGCCTATTGATCTATCCTTTCAGACTTACAACTTTTCAGCCAGTAATCATATCTGTAAGAAAGCCTAAAGACCAATTCGTATTTATTTTAAGAAAACATATAGATTTGGGTGAAATTATTTTACAGTAGTAAAATTAACAATGATTATACTCTTTGTTCCATATTTTTCAGTCAACGATTCTTTGTGGCCATTCACTTGTATTGAGAAATCAGTAAAATATTATCGTTCATCAACTGGTAAAATTAAAATAGATATTGTAGACAAGTCCCAATATTATGAACATTATGGAGGCTTGTCATTCAGTTTCTACAGTATACCACGAGGTTGGCATTGTTTTATTTACTTATTAGTTTCTAAAGCTTACCGGGGGCCCCGTAGACTCAGTGAGTAAGGCACTGGCTCATTAACCAGGAGGTAAGAGGATCGATCCCGGTGTTGGCCGAGAAAGTTCTCCGGGAGTTTCCAATATTAACACGCTTTATAAATGTCGATATTATTATTATAATTGTCATTAGTGTAAAGACAATGTCTAGGCGTTCGGATGGTACGAATATCCGAGATCGCGTGTATACACCTTGGCCTTCACTTGAAAGAACGCATGACAGCTGGAATTCGATATAAGTGTAGGCCGTAGCGCCGCAGACCGGGAAAAAATTTCAATAGTCCTGTCGGTGGAGAGAAGTAGGACGTTAACGCCATTTCATTTTGTTTCTAAAGCTTGACTGAAAGGGGTTGTTACTCTTTACTAAATTAAAAATTATTGGTCAGTTTTGTTTTTCGTTTCGACGTCTACTTAAATCACCGATGGTAGCCACTGAAGACTTTATCGAAGAGTTTCGTTTGAATGTGTTCATGGTTCGTGAAAAAATAAACCCAGCCATTGCAAAAAAACGACACAAACTGTAGCGAACAAAATATTTTCCTATACAACTAGGTGGCGAGATGATTGAGATTTTATTTAATTTAATTTGTATCTATTTATAGACGTATTGGTTGATACCGTGATGGTTATCACTTCTATTCCATCTTATATCTGGATTCCAGGTTTATCAAGTCAGACAAGGTAATATTAACTACATGAGTACCATATTTTGTCATGTCTACGGGTTTTTCCCGTGTAACTGTTTATGTGTGGTGCGATCCTCCTGTATTTACCAATAGGGATCAGCATAGATTGATGGAATTTTCAATTTGTCATTTGTTAATACTGAACAAGAAATTGAACGAGTCTTTAAAAGTAGACAAATCACAAATACAATGGTACTTGAATACACTATAGTGGCACATACATTTACCAGTAATTTTTAACTTGGCTTCACGTTACAGCTATAGGTTCATACTGATGAATTGATTAATTTCTTGCTTATTTTAAATTTGTATTGTCCATACTATCGTCATGCCCTGCTTATTGTTAATCGGTTTGGCTGCATTGCCAAACTAATAAAACAAAACTTGCTGTTCACAAACTGAGAAAGATTAATCTGATTTCACGACTTAACAGGAGACCCTTGTGGAATGTATCAATCCGATATTAGAACAGCACGGTATCTGTGAAATCGATGTATTGTGTCGTGTGTGTACTGCCGATTTACTGAAAATTTTGCATGTTTCAGGAAAGATGTCATCCAATCGGCCATTCTAAAATCCGGCTTTTCCCAAAAGTGTGTTCAAATTAAAGGATTAATGACGAATCTGTCCGGAGTTGAAAATCTTTATGATTATATAAATGTATATGATGGTTAGTAATGATATCATCTTTTTGTAGCTGTAAGAGATTGATTATTTTGGATAAAGACCATTGACGTTATTTCGATATATATTTGTTATACATAAGTATTTTTCGACTATCTAAATCCAGAGCCGCACCTCGCTTATCAGTGTCGTCATAACTTTATAAACTCCTTTTCTATACAAGACAAAGTGTGTAAAACTTTTTAAACTGATGACTGTCAAACTATATTTTATATAGGTAACGAACGGACAAAATCATGTCTATAAATTACACCAAGGATTGCAATTTACACTATTAAACACTATTATTTATCTATAGGTTATAATGATTATGTGAATAAAATAGATGCTGCCTGTGGAATGAAGTTTGATTCAGTGTCAGGAAGTGGTACCTCCATACTCATCAAGATGAGACCAAATAATATAAATGCTGGAATATGGATAAAAGCAGAAGCGACAGGTAATAATGGTTTTAGTGAAATAGAAACACAACGAATAGCTATAAATGATTAAAATTGTACAAATCGGTATTCTAATATGCGCCATTTTTTCTTGAAGAATAATTTCTAAAGCTGTCTGCTAAAAACATCCAGACAAAATTTAAAATTTGTGACCTTGTTTGTGCGTATTGACCTTGTTTGTGCGTATTGGCCAGAAAAGTTTTTGGATGTTAGCATATGTTTTATTGTTTGGCAACCTTTGTGGAAGAAAACAGGGGACAATTAAAATGGGGTTCGTCTACCTTTCTGTTCGTAAAACTGTATTATTGGGTCTTGTGTGTTAATTATGCAGACCGTGAGAAAAACTCGTGCAAGTTTCGCGCTAAATTTAACCATTTTCACTGCATCTGTGTAGTATACAATAACCCAAAGCGCTGATTGGCTGAGGCATGATCGCGATCTACGAAATGCAATCAGAAAATCCCATTCTCCCTGGATTTCAAAATAGAATTGTACTTGTGATTAATATATGGTTAATAACTGAGCGTTCCCTGTGAATTTCAAAACGAAGCCAGGAAATATTCGGAAATTAATTGTGTTACCGAAATGCAAAATTCTGAACAGTTTTTGCACAAGGGAAATAATATTCGAAGAGAAATAGAAAAAAAATGGAACTATCTACCGATAATTAAACCGTTGTACGGTATTATTTGTTGATAATAATTTTTGGTATCTATATATATATATATATAAAAATAACGTGATGTACCTATTCAATGATTTAATGGCCTCGGCTATTAATTTTGCGAGCAAATGTGAAATACATCGACATTTACGGATTTACCTCGGCTACAGCAGATTGCCGAGGTTAATTGACATGACTGCTTAAGTTCATCAGAAAATATTAAAGATATTCAAGGGGGAGATTCAAGGCCCGTAAAACGAATGTCGTCCTTTTTGTTCTGCACCTGTTTTCAAAAGAAATAATCCGACACAACTCTCTAACCAAATAATTTTAAAATACAAGACGGAACAAAATAACGGACTACGGGCGTGTTTATGTTTGTAAAGGCCCAAACTCATTACTGGGTCCGAGAGCAATAGCTTATTCATACAAAAAATTTGAATTGTCGTAAAAGAGCCAAACACCGTTACGATAGACAAGCCTTGCTGAGACTCTCTTATACGAAATGATCTATCCCGATAAGTGACGTAATTAGCTTCCGTTTTTGTATTTCTCGAAGTCAAAGTTTGTGATGAGTTGAATTTTACAAGAGAAAACTTTTTTATTTGCTGGGATATTTAGTTGTACAATGGATTTTATATTTAACCGGAAGTAATTTCAAACATAAGGTAAGTTTATAATAACCAAAGTTAAGTAGTTTATTCATAACCGAAGAAATTGTGCGCGTAAGAAAGGGTTGTGTGATCAATAAAATCTTCTACTCGTCTTTTTTGATATCAAAAAAATATCATCGCGTTTAAACGGATTAACGTTTAAACGGGCAATTGTATTAAAATTGTTCTTATCTTTCCAGCCACATGTGTACTTAATAGTAACCTAAAAGATTTAACTGTTGGGAATATAGCTAAAGTGATTGAAAGTCCAGGATATCCCCAGCATTTTGTTTGGTAAGTGATGAAGCGGTCCAGCAAGGGCAATAAGTCTTGACAACGACTTGGAAGACAGAATTTGCAATATAAAGAGTTTTTCAGAATCGTGCGAAAGTTTGCACTTGGATTTCTGAAGGAAAATTATCCCTACATTTTGTTCTGTTACATTTTATGGCGATCATCGGTATACATCGATTGGAATATTCTATTTTATTGTAAAGGTATCAACAAAGGGCTCTCGTTCCAATCAAAATTGCCAGTGCCTCGCAATGAGATTGACCGACATTGAGAACAATTTGGCTATGGAATAGAATTGGTGTATATTATTCAGATACATTTCGACTAGGCTTCTATAGCCTATGTAAAATAATGATGGCGCATTATATACACATAAAACAATACTTAAAAGGCCTGACTGAAAAGTTCTAAGTCTATACTGTGAAAGACCTGTACAAAGTCGTTGGTTTCTCTAATTATTTTCCTACTCAGTTCCCTTCGAGGTCTTTTCCCAACGATGTTGCAAGGCCTGGATGCCGACCAGGAAGAATTTTTCTTCAGTCACCCTAAAAAAGTCGTTCACAGCTGGCATCATTACTAAGTAAATGACGACCGGTTAGTTCCTTTTTTGATTCTTGGAAACCGGTGGAAGTCTGACGGGGCCAAATCTGGCAAACAAATTATGAGGATCTGCTTCAAAACAACACAGGTGGCCTTCCAGGGCGCTGATAGGTTCGCAAGATAGTCTGGTACGAGGACAAGAATAACACTGCAGCTGCAGCTCTTATCTATGATTCATTCAATAATTGTACGCGTTGGTGACAAAAGTTTGTTTCAACCCAATTCATCTATCCTTTGCAAGCTTAGAACGTTTCAGCCAGCCCTATACATGTATATAATGTCCCATTATATTTTGATGTATAAGAAGTTGCTTATGTTCGACGTAATAGGAAGCCTGATAGTCCCACTCCACTCTATTTATTATTTTCTATTTGACATTATGGTATCCATAAATCTCTTTTTATTTCAACAATTCCTTCAATTTTCATTTGCAGTCATCAATCTCTGTATTGGCAAATTAGAACTGAAAGTGACAACAAAGTGATTTCTTTAAGCACGGATCCCCATTTAATCACCAACACAAACTGTATAAATCGGCTTCAGATATATGATGGTAGGTACACAATATTCGTTTAATTCCCTTCCCAGTCCCCGAAAGCAAAAATGATTTATGTCGTGATATTGATCCTCAGAACATTTGGATCCTGATTTTCTGAAAACCTTGTGAACATGATAAAAGCTATATTATTTCACGGAAATATTTTATATTAGGTTTGAAGCATTTTGACCACAAGAAGATGAATCCTATAAATTCTCAGCGTTTGACAGCCTATGATCAGTGACTTTCCGTTCCGAAGTTACCCGCCTTTTCCGAAAACCCTTTCAACGCGATAGAGGCTACCGTTTGTTTTTCTAATTCGATGCGAAACATTAGGACAATGAGAGGATTAACCCTATTGATTTTTGCTGGGGGTTTCGATTCCCCGGTTGTACATGACAAGGAGTAGGGTCGCCTGTCCAACCTCGTGGGTTTTCTCCGGGTCCTCCGATTTCCTCCCACTGTTAAAGACCCCCACGCGCAAGCGAATTATTGAAATAAAATTGAACCATGTGTTAATCCCGGAATGACCTAGTTTGTGTCGAGTGGACGTTAAACCTCATCTCTCTCTCTCTCTCTCTCTCTCTCTCTGATTTTTTCTGTTCTCCGTTCATCTATTGCAAAATGGTGATTCTAGGACCAAAATGGGCTCGGTCATCGTTTGCACAGAATTTTGAGACGTGTGTGATGACTCGGTGACCAGGACACACATGATGAGAGGCTTAAGGAAAACGAACATTTTGCGGTTTGTAATCTATTAGAAAATATTAATTTGAAGCTTATAAAATATATTTAAGACTCAAACTTTTTCAAATGTTTTAACAGGGTCAGATAGCCGTGGTGATGTCATATCTAGCTGGTGTTTAGGAACGAAGGAGAGTTATGTATCAACTGGTAATGTTATGTATTTAACCCTCCAGTCACACAACACTATCCCACCTTTCAAACTATTAGTATCACAGAGAAATAAAGGTAGGCGTCTTTTTATTGCCCCACGCCTTTCGAGGAGAAAGCGGGGGACTATTAAAATGGGTCCGTCCGTCGGTCCGTCCGTCTGTCCGTCACACTATTTTGGACACAATAACTCTCCTTCTAATTGAGCTAGAATGTTCAAACTTGGTGCAGGTGTTTATTAGGTCAATGCCTTGATGGAGTTCGAAGAGTAAGCAGAGATAAGCAATTTGATTGTTTGATGCTTTGGGACACGATAACTTAAGTTCTAATTAAGTGAGAGTGATGAAATTTAGTGTATAGTTTTGTTACATCAATACCTTGACTAGGTTTGATAATGAGCCTTTTCTGCTCAGAGTAAGCAGAGTGATAAGCAATTTGATTGGTCGAGACTTTGGAACACAATTACTCTCATTCTAATTGAGCTAGAATGTTCAAACTTGGCGTATGTGTTTATTACGTGAATGCTTTGATGGAGTTCGAAGATAAGAATTCTCTGCTTAGGGTAAGCAGGGATAACCAATTTGATTGGTTGATGCTTTGGGACACGATAACTTTAGTTCTAATTAAGTGAGAGTGAGGACACTTGGTGTATCGTTTTATCACATCACCACCTTGTCTAAGCTCGATAATGAGCATTTTCTGCTCGGGATAATCAGAGCGATAAGCAGTTTGATTGGTCGAGACTTTGGAACACGAAAACTCTCCTTCTAATTGAGGTAGAATGTTCAAACTTGGTGTAGGCTTTCATTAGGTGAATGCCTTGATGGAGTTCGATTATAAGCAGAGATAAGCAATCTGATCGGTTGATGCTTTGGGACACAATAACTTTGGTTATAATTAAGTGAGAGTGATGAAACTCCGAGTAAGTTCGATGATGAGAATTTTCTGCTTAGGCTAAGGAGCGATACGCAATTTGATTGGTCAAGACTTTGGAACATAATTAACAACTTTGCTTTTAATTGAGGTAGAATGTTTAAGCTTGATGTAAATGTTCATTAGGTGAATGTCTTGACTGAGATCAATGATTAACATTTCGAGCTAAAGCTAAGCAGAGATAAGCAATTTCATTGGTCGAAGCTTTGGAACAAGATAACTTTGATTCTATCTGATAGAGAGTGATGAAACTTAGTGTATAGTTGATAATCAGTTTGATTGCTTATACTTTTGAAAAAAAAAATCTGCGATTAATTAATATGTGTCATCTATTTATTTTTGGGATTTCGGCGGGGGACATCAGCCTCACTGTTGGCTTGTTTCAAATTACAAGATGACATAGTGACGCTTAGTGAATGTTGTACAAATGTATTTAATTGTAATAATCAATGTCAACTTTTTCTTATCATTGCTTCTTACACTTTGGCACTGGATCCTATCTAGACACAAGTTCAAATGCACTCTCGCTTTTAAACGATTTCCGATAATACCGTCATAGTTGAAATTGATGCACAATATGTCTGTTCAGGAAGACATAGAAGTCTGTTGTTCATCAATGATTTCTATCTGAGTGATCACTTAGGAAAGGCATGGGTCATTTTTATTAAGATAAAGAATCCTATTGAATTGGAAGCTTTCCGATAATTACAGCAACATATAGTCAACTTAAACTCCCAATTCCTCTGCTAGAATATATCGACGTTTATGTAAGGATGGTGCTCTATATGAGCCAGGGTATGCCTTCCTCCCTAGAACACCCGATGCCACTTTTTATTTGAGGATTTCACATAGCTAATACGCTCTTGTTTTAATTTGATTAAAACGAAAAACATACATATTTACTACAAATTTTCAGTTGAATGTTCCGAGGGAAGTAGACTTGCCACGACAGCTTTCCAGTATATAACTTCACCATTCTATCCTGGCCATTATCCAAAGTAAGTATTGGTTGATTTATTGTTATCATTATTATCTACTTTATTTAGCGGTATATTAGCAGTCATATTTAAACATTTGCTGTTACATTGGTCATTTGAGACAATGCTCTATTATCTGATAAAGATGACCAAGAGGAATTGTTCAAGGGATTTCGTTAGAAATATTGATGTTACTTTATTTACAATGTTGCTGTTGTCCCATGACAACTGAAATATGGTGTGCTATGATAGTATACTGTATGAGGAATCAGAGAAAAACCTGTGACCCCACCGCTGAGATTTTACATTATGTCATATTAGCCCTGTGTTGGTTTTCTATGGACCCTTGCGCAAAAATAATTGTTTACATGTACACATGTATATAGGGAAAAGTTTAATTTTGTGAGATTATGACGGGATCATTTCTTTATTTAAAAAGCCGTGTAGCCTGGGTTTCCAGACCTGGTCCCCAAGCGCTACCCATCTTACTGTTGTTCTTGTTGGGGCAGGCGATCTTCCTAAAATTTCTAATGGTCCGCTAATTCTTGTACAATCGACGTTACATGAAACATGGCCAATTAAACATCCATTGACAGCTTAATTTTGACGTGACGCCACAGTTCTAAGATGGCTGCGATGACGCTATGACCTGTTCCTGATTCGTATAGTACGCCCGTATTTTTTCTTTTAGTTCCATGTACTGTAAATGGTATATATCAGCAGATTCACAGTATAGGATCCAGATAAAAATAAATCATCTGGATCTAACCAATACCGTTTTTACATGTGATGATTATCTGAGGATTAGTGATGGTAATTATAATCAGTTTCTTAAGAATAATCAAAATATTTTTTTATGTAATCATATACTGAGACGCAATGGAAACGTTCAACTGATTTGACTGCAAACATATATTGCAGCTGAAAGTTTTGGTATGATTGTAAGCCCCACTCTCGGTAAAGTGATACTTCCAATGGTTCCGATTCTTATCCCCCTTGAATTTACTCAACAAAGCGTTTGCGATGCTTTGGTGTCAACTTTGACATATCGTTGCGTCTTCCACAGAATAATAAGAGTTATATTGACCCGGGGGGGGGGGCTGAATGGTTAGCGTGTGCGCGCTGTATCATAAGGTCTGATTTTGAGTCAACTGGAGTGGTTTCGATTCCCCGGTTGTACGTGACAAAGAGTAGGTTGCCTGTCCAACCTCGTGGGTTTTCTCTGGGTGCTCCGGTTTCCTCCCACTGCTAAAGACCCCTACGCGCAAGCGAATTATTGAAATAAAATTAAACCATATGTTAGTCCCGAAATGACCTAGTTTGTGTCGAGTGGACGTTAAACCCCATCTCTCTCTCTCTCTAGTCTCTCTCTCTCTTAACTTAGGTATATCTCTGAAAGATCTCGGTTCCTTTCGATATTGACATGTATCGGGCGGTAACTTCATGGATTATATGGCCCTTGAGTGTACGAAAAAACACGCTTTTAGCTTGCAGACACTTTAGAGGTCACAATTTTATCCAATTTTGATGAAACTTGAAATGTATGTTTGTAACCCAAAGTTTACGGCGACTTTCGATATTCGCGCACAACTTCATACATTATAGACCCTGATTGTGGTCCCTCAAGAAGTCACAATTTGTATGTGATTTACAAAACTGTTCGGGTATTGTCAGAGTATTGGTTAAGGTGTGTGTGAGTTAGTTGTATTTTACGTCCACATTCACCGAGGTGATATCGCAGACAAAAAAAAAAGTATGGAACGCTTCAAGAATTTGCGTGTCATCCTTGCGCGGGGTCCATGCTAATCTTCTCTGTATCGTTCCAATTTTAGTATATGTACTACGTTAAGGTCACTTTAAATCTATTTATAGCTCATGCTGATGTAATATTGTGTCACTGTGCACGGGGAGTTTTGCTTGACAACGTGGCTGCACAATAAAATCTATTTTTTTTCTTCAAACATATTTGTTCCTTTGTAATAACACGGTTTAGGTCATAATGTTTATCCGATTTTGATTCAACTTAAAACACATCACCGTTACACCATAATGAAGATTGAGTTCGAATTTCGCTAAAATCGAAACAAAATGGCCGCTCCTTGTACGCAAAAAGTGTTAATGTAAATAATAAGAAGTTTGTGGACGCTCTAGAGGTCACAATTTTTGTCCGATTTTTATGAAACTTGAAATATTTATCCTTATCCCAAAGATCTTAATTCCTGTTGATATTCGAACATTTCAGACCATAACTTCCTGAATTATCACCCGTGATTGTTTTTTTAAAACTAGTTCTGGTTCTCTTCAAATTGGTTGTAGAACATTGTGGTCAAGAGAGGACCAACCCTATCGCTATTCATCGTACCGGAGTTACCCCTATGTTCCGAAAACCTTGTGGAAACTATAGAAACTACAGCTTTAAGCGAATAGATTTTACAAATTTGATGTAAACCCTTTAAACTGTAAGATGATTTATCCTATTGATTTTTAAATTGGATGTGAAACACTGGGGTCGGAGAGGTTACCGCTTCTCAGTTTCAAAATTCTACGACATTCTGTTCCAGAGACATAATATCTCTCCGGAAAAACTTGTGAATAAGATATAGGTCAGATTTCTTAAAGGCACAAAGGATCCCTTTCAAATCAAATTTGGTCAACATCAGATAACCTGCTTTCTGTATTTTTTCGGGTCTTAGCTGCTGTGTGGAGCGTATTCCCATGCTTTGCATGGCTATATTCATTTTACATTTTTCTCAATAAACACTTCAGCTGTACCCACATCTAGCAAGATATGCGCTAACAGCACTGGTGCTGGGCTTTCATACATTACTAAATATGACTGGTTAACAATAGAATTTAATAGTAATGGTAGCCATGCAGCAAAGGGTTTCAACATCAGCTATAAAACGTTTCAGAGTGGTGGTAAGTTGCATAAAATACTATACAAATATTATTTCAATAGGATAAGGTTGTTACATGGATAGGCGAAGTGAATAATATATACCCTTTGTATTCACTTTTAATTTGATAATAATCTAAAATATATTGTACCTGTATAACTTAGCTTTTGTGTATATCTATCTATACTAATATTTGTGACTGTCGTTTGTCTGTCTGTTTGTCTGTCTGTCTGTTCGGGGTTGGCGGCTACACTAGGTCTGCCCCGAGTCTGAAATTTGGGGTATAGGGGTATCTCGGACCGGGGAGTAACATAGGCCAGGTGGCGTTAGTCTACCACTTCCGGTTTCGGAGTTATGACCCCCGAGCGAAGCCGGGTATCCTGCTAGTATATAATATATATATAGATCAGAATTAATGACCAATTCAAAAGAGGGCAAATAAAACGTAAATGTTATGATCTAATCAGCTACTCGTAGTCATGCTAAAACAGTCGTACTTTCTATTAGGACACACGATACCTAGACCAAAGATTATGTTAAGTTTAGACCTCCTCCTAATTAAAGGATGTTTGGTAAATAAATCTTTTCGTATCTGATTATCAAGTGACATTTGAACGCTGTTTCGGCTTGTCACAAATATCTGCAATTAATACATTATTGAATTATAATAATGTTTATTATTCAAATATGTAGTTAAATTTGCCTATTTACGAACCAGTGTTTGTTAAACAACTTTGAAGCGTTCCGTTTCAATTTTCCTAATGAACACGTTGTTTGATTCTGATTGGCATATCTTATAAATTTAATACACAGATTAGGTTCGTCTAACAAAATTGATAGAAACCAATTGGGGAAACTAGGCTGTGATAAGTAGAAACTATAGAATTGACCACTCTGACATGTCCTCAAATTGATAATGGTATTTCACATGGTTGTATTACACAACGTTGCGACGATGTCATATATACATGTATGAGATTTGTGTAATTAAGTTTTCACAAAATGTTGTAGATATGGTTTGAGGATAAGACCTGCATATTTAATGATGTTTTTCAGGAGATTGTAATCAGGATTTTATTGTGGATCTGTCACCTAGATACCTTAACTCTACAAACTATCCCAGCATGTATAAACGGTAAAATTTAAATACAACTATTTACTTAATGTTTTAACAAACAACGCCGAGTTAGGTATTAGAAAGCCTGGTAAACACCCGGTTTATTATTGTAACGGTTAAAAATAAACTTCAGGTTTATTATTGTAAAGGTTAAAAATAAACACCAGGTTTATTATTGTAACGGTCAACAATAAAGACCCGGTCTATTATTGTAACGCTTAACAATAAAGACCCAGTTTATTATTTTAACAGTTAACTGTGAAATTCCGTTTTGATATTGTAACTACTAACCCAATTTATTATTGTAAAGGTTTACAATAAAAACCAAATTTATTATTGTAACGGTTAACAATAAACTTTCGGTTTATTATTGTACGGGTTAACAACCAACTTATTATTTGAGAGTTTATTATTGTAACGGCTAAAATTTAACTGGCGGTTTATTATTGTAATTATTAACAAGAAATCAAATGAAATAGAGTTTACGTCCTATAGTGTGCTACACTTTAGCCTAAAGCATCAATGTCCCATGTTAGTTAAAATTTTAGATAAAACGCTAGCCTTTATTGCTATGATAGTGCAAAATTAGCGGATCTGGCCGATTGGCATTTCATATTCTCGCTTACAAAGTACCATTGCCACAATAATAAACGAATTCTCGATTTTCTATCCTTCAATAAACCGGATCCGTGCTATGGGCATTGTCTAATCCACTCAATGGTTAAACCATCCGATTGAGTAGAGTGTTGAGTATAGCCTTTTCATGTGAATATATCTCTACATTTGAAGCCAGAAAAAGTCACTGTTTAATCCGCCACTGCACAAACGTTATGTAAACATGGGGGTAATTTATAAAAGTTTTGGTTCCCATTTCAGAGGATTTGAATGCGTTTACAGATTGAATAAAGATATATATTTTGGTACTGATTACAGCATCGCTGTCTCTGTGGTAGCTTGTGATCTACCACCAAGAATATACCAACAATGTATAAGAGACTACGTTAACGTCTACGATGGTAACGTATTTTATTAAAATTAAATTTCTGTAAATATGAATTGTTTTACTTTTTTGGTAAATAATAATAAAAAATGATATCTTTAAAGAGAGAGCTTTCTCATGCAAACCATTGGACTCGCACTGGTCCATATACTCGATTATATGGAACACATTATCTTTGATTCTAATTAAGTGATTGTGGTGAAAGTCTCTACATACTTTCATTACACCATTGCCATGACTAAGTTGGATGAGGTACATTTTCTGCTTAGGCTAAGTAAAAATAAGCAATTTCATACACACTTTTAAATGAGCGAGTGTGATGGATGAAACTTGGTGTATTTTAGTTCTCCATTACCGTGATTAAGATCGATCGTGGTCATTTTTACCTTCGGTTACAAAGGGTGATAAGTAATGCGTTACTCGTAAGTTTTTGAAACTTGCGCCTAATCCTTTTGATGTGTGCCAATAAAATATGGTTCAACTAAGTAATTTGAGTGTGCGATGCGTTATTAAAAAAAAGTAATTTATTTCATTTCTAAAAACATATAATGATTCATTAAGTAATTAATGAGTTAAACATTTCTTGTAAGCTTAAGGTTCACTATTAGCTTCTCTCTTACTTTTTATATTACATTTATTTAATGGAAACCATAAAATGGAAATTTTAACAACGTTTATATACATGATTTATACCACAGTGAAAACAAACATGATTTGTTTATTTCTTTAATCCAATTATAAACTCAACTTGCAGTGATCCCTGAAGTTTGAGTATGATTCCCCGGAAATTTTGAAACTGAAAAACAGAAGCAACTAGATGTATCGCAGCAATTGCATATTAGATAGCTTAACTTCTATTTCAATGAAGGGCGAATTTTTTGGGAACCGTAACGTATCTGTGGCAGTTGATTCGAGACATGGTCAAATCATAAATTAAATGGACAACTTTCATCTGCGAATGTCCGTGCTTTCAGTACGAACGATCATTCGTGTGGAAAATGAGAGATGTCGCGTTTCGTGGCCGTGATCGTGGTCGCGGTCAGTATAAATTAATCTTTAGTAAATTGAATGTTAGTTTAGGTTGAATAGCACAACGCTGACGCTAAACTAAAGAGATCACATTTCATTGATAGATTGCCATATGACGTTGAATTTGGGGGAATTACTTTTTCTGGGGAGTTTATTTCCAGAGCGAATCATTTGAATTTTTTGTTTTTGCATTAATTAGCTGTGAGTGTGAGGTCAAAAGTCAGATCAGTAGGAACAGGGGTTCATGGTCACGTTTGGGTTTGTGCTCAATCTAAGTGACCCTTACCTGAATGGCAAGTCAACTCGACACTAACTCAGCGTTACGCAATCCAAAACATGAAATAACCAGATCTTGTTTTGCAGGTTCTGTTAAAAATAATCAAGACAAAGTTGGAACATTTTGTGGTGATGAAGATAAGTTCACTGTGACAGCCAAGTCGAGGAGTGTTTTGATCGATTTTGTAACTTCTGGAATAATTTTGGGACATTACAAAGGATTTCAAATAAAGTATATGCTTGAGAGAACTACTAATACTGGTAATAATATTAATGTTTTTTTTAGTTGTGGAAAATACACGCGTTCCTAAAAAGAGCAAGCAAATGACAATTTGGATAACCTAAATTTAAAAACAATATGAAAATATGTCCAAAAATAGACCTTTTTTTATAACCCTAACACCCAGTAACATAGGATATACCTACTGCATTTATTAATTTAAAGCGTTTTCCGCAATGTCGCCCTTATTTTTTTTTTTTTTTTTTTTGACGCCTTCGCCCACAACTTCAACCGGCAGACTCTTGCCATTTAGACGACGACCACCGCCAAGACCGGTCGCAATACGTCTTTCTTGTAAATTATTATTATTTTTTTTTGTCTGGCCGGTTTTGTTTTGCGTGTAGTGCTTTTCTCCTAAACATACTATAACATAGCGCATATTATCATACATTACAATCCGATTAAAACACAGGTCCTGTTTCGTTTCGTTTGTTTTATTTGTCTTTACTACATTTAGTCTCTACGAATGTTAGTCTAGATGCGTTGTCAATTTGAGAATAATAGGTCATTGGCTAGATTATCCAGCCTTTTACATTATGATGAACAGAGTCTAAAGGAAGGTAACTAGTCCTAAAACAAGATGTCGACGCCCATGCAATTTATTAAAGAATTGCAATTTCAGAAAATACATTTGCCAGTTCAATATCCAATATTCTCTTTTTTATTTTAAAATCTTTCTCTTCATGGGCCATATCTATGATTTTAATTAATCCCAATTCGTTGTCACGATTCATGTTTATTTATAATAATCATAGAAATAGACCATTTCTATGTAATAATGCATGGATTGTGTGATTTATTTCGGGAACTTCACTTGGCCAAATATACTGGATAATCACCCACATAAAAAAAAACGGTTACGCATGGGCAATGGAACTTTTCGCAAAATATTTGACAACGGTCCCAGACCAATGAATCGGTCTGTTGCAGTGTGTTCTTGGGGTATAGTACACGGAACGGCAGGTATCCCAGTAGAAACATCAACGCTGATTGGTTAATGAAAAGTCTGACGTCGTAGGATCAAAAGCCGCGCGAATGACACCAGGCACGACCTCCCACTGGTGAGATCTTCATGTAGTGGAACCATCGAAAGTATGAAATATAAAACGAAACGAATTATAGATGTGTATTTTAATCAGATTGTCAGACATTACACCATAGTCTAACATAATAACTATCAATATCTTTCATCTATATTTCCGGTGTGATTTCCCCTTGTCAGTGATGTAGGACGGAGGGCCTGACAAGGACAGCTGTCTAGTCGTTCGGATGGGACGAAAAACCGAGGTCCCGTGTACACATTGGCGTGCACGTAAAAGATCCCTTGGCAGTTGGGATTCGATGTATAGGCCGTAGCGCCGCTGCCCGGGCAAAATTTCCCTCATAGCACACTGTATGGCGTATGCCCGTCTTCATTAGCCCAGTTTAGGAGCAGTAGACGTTAAACCCCAATTCATTTAATTTCTTTCATCTATATTTTATCAGTTCTAGAAAAAATAAAATTTAAAACAAACTGCATAATTTAAATTCTTTAATTTAAAATTCTAAACCTAAACATAGATAAAAGACAATTACATAACTGCATTAAACAAGAGATCCACAGACATATTTGAATGATACTTGAAAATTCCAAGCTGTGTTTGGGTTCAGGTTTGATATTATTAGTATCTCACACAATTATTATGTTTTAGACAAAATTAATCCAGATACTAAATTTGATTGCAAATTGTTTTTTTTTTTTTTTTGACTTTTCAAATACTCTATGATTTACATGGTGTTGAATACATGGTCGTCTTAAAGACAAATTACAATGATTTATTTTGTAATATTTGATTTCAGGAAATAGTGGTACATGTTCGGTAGGACGACCATTGGAACTACCAGCTTCTTCAATTGCTAAATATTTTACTTCACCAAATTATCCCGATAAATATAGAAAGTAAGTTTAAATCGTGCATGTACCCTATCCTGAGTACATATTACATAATGAATTAAAGCTGCATTATGTTAGATTGAGATAAAAGGGCTGTAATAGTTCAAAAATACATAATTAAAAATGAATATATGGATGATTTCAGTCATATTGCTTTTATTGAGCGTAGTTTTGAGTATTTGAGGTTCTGACTATATAGTGTCAATTGTCAAGTGCCATTGTTACGATATAACCCATTTTGACATTACATTATCAAATGGCGATTGTGTTTTAATCAATTTAAAATCACGGCCATCCGATGGTCTTGTCTAAGAAGTTGATAATGGACTGATATGAATAAATGCTTAATTAGTAATTCATATAAAGCTGATTTGATTCTTACATAATGCATCCTTAATACTGATCCTAAAAATGTTCATATACAATACCAATTTGTGGTATCCCGTTAGCTCTGTTAGTTCACTTTCATATTACAAAGTAAAACTATCAGTTAACGTAAAGTTCACTTTTAGTGTGAATATATATATATATATAGAGAGAGAAATTAGGTTTAACGCCCACCTGACATAAACTAGACCATTTAGAGACACCAATTTTATTTCAATAGTTAGCTTGTGCGTAGGGGACTTTCGCAGTGAGAAAGCCCTCGAGGTTATACATGTGACTCTACTGCTTGTCATGTACAAGCTCGGAATCGAAACCATGCCACTTGACTCAATACTATACCTTATGTTCTAAAATGCACATGTTAAACTATTCGTATGCCCTTAAGGGCCTGTGTCTCCTAGCTTCGTTCAGACTATTAGATTCGTGTTATATAAATGTTTATTGGATTATTGTATGCATGTATATATTTTACAGTGATCAGTACTGTCAGTGGCGTATAACTTCCGATTATAAAACTATTGTATTTCAAGTGATTGATTCCGATTTAGGACCTAAACCTATCTATGATAATGAAGATAACGTCAAGGTCTATGACGGTAAGCATTGATTTTAATATATTTCCCAACAGTATATTTCAAATTTTAATAACTATTTCCTTAATTTAGTGTTGACATTTCTAGTCGCCGTAACAGACTGTTTCATTGGCTAATCCCTCACTTCAACCAAAACGCCGGTAATATAACAACTCTTCCAGATCCTAGTGTAGTAAAGACAAGTAAAACAAAATTTTGAACTATAAAAAGCGAAACTAAATAGGATCTGTGTTTTAATCAGATTGATGAAATAAATACATGAAAAAGTTAAAAATTATAGCATGTACAACAAACTTAATAGCGGTTATTTCAATTTTACTCTTTTGTGGTATGCCCCCCCCCCCACCTTTACCGGATGTACTAAACCGTTTCCCCCCATCTGTCTCCATTTCTGGTTTCAAATAACAGATGCTGTAAGTGATCTCTTTTTTTTCCTAGGTAATGATAGATATGGCGACCTTTTGGGTAAACTATACAGTACACATGCACCAACATACCTTAGCTCTGGTTCCAATCTTTATATTGAATTTACCTCCAATTCCAATGGTGTTTATAAAGGGTTTAAAGTGAAATATTACACAATGTCATATAGTGTGCCAGAGGGAAGCCAATCATCAGGTAAGTTCACATTGATTTTTTCGAATGGCATTTTAGCGATTATATATGTGCAAAATTAGCTCTTTTCATTTAAAAAACTAATTTCTTCAGCACTAAACAAATTGCCCTTCTCTTATTATTTAATACTGGAAGTATATGGTCGTCACTTCATGTAAATATTCCTTACATCAATGTTGGTGTGATTGTTTTGAAAAACGTCTAGAATTGTGTTTGTATTGGTATGATAAGGAACCCTATCGAAATTCATAATAGCCCACCTTATTACCCTGATCACATTGCCAAACATATACTCTCCCTTGATAATCATGTGATATACGTATGGAAATTTGCAAAATGAACTTTTTGTGATTATTTCAGATACATCATACGGAGTTATGGCTGGAGTAATCAGCAGCATTACATTGTTGTGCATCTTTATATGTGTATGCCTATGTCGTTTCTGTATGAAAAGAAAAACCCCTCCACCGAGACAGTCACGATCAAACAGCCAAAGGGTCGTTTTTAACACTTCTAATAGTACCGTATTTGTTGTTCCACCAGTTTATGATGCAAATAGTAAGTACTTGAAATATGTGTTACAGTTTATTATTAAAGACCCGGTGCGTCATTTACATTTTCGCTAAACTATCATAATTCTCACGGCTTAATTCACGTTAAATAATCCTAGATTGATTATTTAACATTTAATTAAGAAAACAAAATATCAACTTTAGATAATATCTCGGCTTGGATTCAATCGCATTTAAACCGTCCCATCATGGTAAGGTCTAAATATTTAGACGAACTGCGGATGTAAATAGGGCTAGGACAAGGGATAGGGTTAGTGTTAGCACTAATCATGTTTACATTTTGTGACCTTTAATCATATCTGCAGTTGGCCTTAATATTTAAACCCAATAAAAAAGATTTCGGCGTCTTGGTACGCTCCAGGATAGCATAGATCGATGAAATTTCAATTTATCACAACTCTGTAAATACTGAACGGAATTGAATCATTTTTCGACAGATATTCCTATTAGAGATTACTCGTTCACAATATTATAGTTTATATCATTGACATAACTTTAAGATCCATGTCCACTGGTGTTCCTCGGTGATGCTAGGGGAAGTTTAGTGGCTCTGTAAGACGTCCACTTGATTACCTAGGGGTCCCGTGTTGATTGTACGAAAAATCACGTTTTTAGATTTCGGCAACCCAAGAGGTCACAATTTTTATCCGATTTTGAGAAAACTGAAAATGTATGTTTATAACCCAAAGATCTCGGTTCCTTTCGATATTCGTGCAAATCGGACCGCAACTTCCTGGATTGTGGCCCCTGTACCAAAAATGGCGTTTTTAGCTTGTGGTCCCCTTAAAGGTGACGCATTTTATCATATTTTAAAAACCGTTCAAAATTATCACCGTTTCACCATAAGGACGATTGAGTGAGAATTTCGTGAAAATCGAATCCAAACTCCCCCACAATTTTTTTTTATCCGATTTTGATAAAACTTAAAATATATATTTATATCCCAAAGATCTGGGCTCCTTTCGATATTAATTGTGCATATCAGACAGTAACTTCATGGATTATGGCCCCTGGTTTTACGAAAAATCGCGTTTTTAGCTTGTGACCACTCTAGAGGTAACAATGTTTATCCGATTTTGATTAAACTTAGCAGACATGTTCATATCCCAAATATCTTGGTTCATTTTGATATTGTTGCATGTCGGGCCGTATTATCCTAGATCATGGCCCCTGATTGTACGAAAAGTCGCTTATTTAGATTTTTCTCTGCTTACCTTTTGTAAAATGTGAGCGTATCTTTCATGAAAACCGTTTATTAAAAAGATTTATATTTTGTCCCCCGCCTTTCGAAGAAAGCAGGGGACTATTAAAATGGGTTCGTCCGTCTGTCTGTCAGTCCGCCACACTTTTTGGGACACAATAACTCTCCTTCTAATTGAGCTAGAATCTTCAAACTTGGTGTAGGTGTTTATTAGGTCAATGCCTTGATGGAGTTCGAAGATGAGCATTTTCTGCGTAGGGTAAGCAGAGATAAGCAATTTGATTGGTTGATGCTTTGGGACACGATAACTTTAGTTCTATTCTTTAAATGACATCTAGAAGCACGGTTAACTATTCATAACAAAACACAACACAAGGTATTTATGGATATAACTACTTCTCTGTTATTTAATAACGACGTTTTGTAACACATCCATGACTTGATGGATAGTTATCGTTAACTTGAAAACGTGACCAGGCCCCGAGTTCACAAAGCATTCTCAGACTTAAGTTGAGAATTTACTCAAAATTGTTCGCCTTATTTTAACTAAAATATAGCTCTTTATAATAAATTTGTTGTTTTAATGTATCAGATATATCAATAAGAAACTATATGCAAAGTTTTGTGCTTCTGGATCAAAGATATTTCTCATAAACAGTGATTGAAAGTTGAGCAAATTCTCAACTTAAGTCTGAGAATGCTTTGTGAACTCGGGGCCTGTATATATACCTTGTGTTGTGTTTTGTTATGAACTTTAGTTCTAATTAAGTGAGAGTGATGAAACTTGGTGTATAGTTTCATTACATCATTACCTTGACTAAGTTCGATAATGAGCATTTTCTGCTCAGGGTAAGCAGAGCGATAAGCAATTTGATTGGCTGTGACTTTTGAACACAATAACTCTCCTTCTAATTGAGCTAGAATCTTCAAACTTGGTGTAGGTATTTATTAGGTCAATGCCTTGATGGAGTTCGAAAATGAGCATTTTCTGCTTAGGGTATGCAGAGATAAACAATTTGATTGGTTGATGCTTTGGGACACGATAACTTTAGTTCTAATTAATTGAGAGTGATGAAACTCGGTGTATAGCTCCATTACATCATTACCTTGACTAAGTTCAATAATGAGCATTTTCTGCTCAGGGTAAGCAGAGCGATAAGTAATTTGATTGACTGAGACTTTGGAACACAATAACTCTCCTTCTTTTTTGGGTAGAATGTTCAAACTTGGTGTAGGCGTTCATTAGGTGAAGGAGATCGATGATTAACATTGTCTGCTTACGTTAAGCAGAGATAAGCAATCTGATTGGTTGATGCTTTGGGACACGATAACTTTAGTTATAATGAAGTGAGAGCGATGAAACTCCGAATATAGATTCATTATATCATTACCTTGATTAAGTTCGATGGTGAGTATTTTCTGCTTAGGCAAATGAGCGATAAGCAATTTGATTGGTCAACAACTCTGCTTTTAATTGAGGTAGAATGTTTAAATTTGATGTTCATTAAGTGAATGTCTTGACCGAGCTCAATGATTAACATTTCGAGCTAAAGCTAAGCAGAGCTAATCAATTTCATTGGTCGATGCTTTGGGACAAGATAATCTTGATTCTATATGATAGAGAATGATGAAACTTAGTGTATAGTTTGATTGCTCGATACTTTTGAAAAAAATAAATGTGCGATTAATTAATACGTGTCATCTATTTATTTTGGGATTTCGGCGGGGGACTTCAGCCTCACTGTTGGCTTGTTTTATCCAATTTCTACCACTGCTTTAACAAGTACGAAAGTACTATGGACCAAGAACTGCACATCACGCCATATCAAAAATGGAACAATCATACGCGAAGATGAAGAAAACATCAAAAAGATTTATATTTTAAAATTACATTTAAACCACTGCTTTAATAAAAGAACAACCTCAGAAGTAAAATACAAACAATATTTATGTTCTATATTATAGATACGTCATCACCCCCACCATACTCCGGGGTGTCTAGTCCTGAATATAATATCACAGCACCTTACTATCCTGGAAACATACCCTCAGTACCACCACCAGCTTATTCCGAATTACCAGCCTATGAAGATTCAGCCAAGTATGAAATACATGAAACTAGAAGCCACCCAGAGCCAAATCCGGTACCAGAACAACCACAACGGCAAATATCAAGAGATGACTTGAGAATTCGAAGAAATCCACAACAGTTCCATGTACGAAGGCGTAACAATTCAACCCAATCCATAGACAGTCAAGAAGACTTAGCTTTAGTAGACGAAAGGGAAGTGACAGGCATTGACAATACAATCAATCACCGAAATTATTCCATTCCACTATAACTTAACATTTCGCCAAGTTTTATATAAATTTTTAAATTAAAACATATTTCCCTTGATTATATAATCGAAAATCCTTTAAATCCAAAGATGTGTTTTTATGTAGAAAATTTATATTAAATATTATATTAAATACACTTATTTGCATAATAGTTAACATTTAAATGTAATTATTCTGTTAGGGTTGCATGTGTAAATATTTCACCACCCGACGATTTCAGAATTTGTAGGTCTGCTTTCAGAAACATACCTATGTCTCTGTTAAATGCCCTATACATTAACAAACTGCATTATATGATGGATTTTATTCCAGCATAACTATTTGACTTTATCAAAAACAAAATTGTTGACTACACCTATATATTTGCATAATCGTGAGGGCGTAAATGTAATTTTGAAAGGAAGCACATGTTTAAATACTTTCAGAATTAGTAGGTCGGCTTTCTACATTATAGAAAACTGCCTATTTATCTATTAAATGTCCCCGTACTTGCATACATTAATAAACTACATTACAGATACATGTATATGTAAGATTGTATTCCCGTATAATATTTTATTTTATTCCCGTATGAATATTTGACCTTTATCAAACAGAAACGAACTAATGTAGATCAACAGTAAACATTATTGGAGTTAGTACCAGAATTTACAGGAATCATTTACGTTTTATAGTAACTAATGTAGAGTGATCTGTTTCCCAAGAAAACCATGCATTATTCTGTCGATCGACTGGAATGAAAATTATTTATTATGTTAGGTTTATTTTGTTAACGCCAATAAAACATTAAAACCAAGCTCTATATAAATGATCAGTGCAGTGAACCTCTCCTATAAAATGATTATTTATTACACATGGTTCTAATAACTTGTTATAATTGTGTCATGTGTTATTCTAAATAATGACAGGTAAGGATCATATTATAACTGTCTCGTACTTAGTTTCAACATGACTCTTAGTACAAACATCATGGTGTGTAATCTTTTATAATTTCTGTAGACAGCTATTCTCGACACAAATCAACACATTAAATTGAATCAAATAGATACTTATATATATTGTTAACCCAAGTCATAGAAGTCGTGTCCTTTTTACATTTTATGTGCATTGATTTTTTCCCCAAATCAACCAATGAAGTTGACTCTTGATGGAATAATGTAATCATTTTCACAACGTGTCTTCTTGGGAGTTTTAATTTTTGGACTTTTATAGATTCAAGACCCAACATTTGTGTGTTAATAGTTCAGTTTATTTACGAACTATTTGTGATTGTTTTGTCTTGTTATTTTGTTCACATTATGTTCCATGTTTCATCATTAGTCTAACAGCCTTTGTACATTATAGTTTGCTAAGTATTAACAAATAAAAACAATAATATAAAGTTAACTTACTATGTAAATATAAACATGTTATATGACTCGTATATATTTTTGATAATTAAAAAAAGTGAAATAATCACGGGTGTTTTTTTGGTTTATTAGATTTTATGATATCAACAGATACTCAAATGTCCGAATCTGCGATAACCTTATGAGCAATTAATTTCATTGGTCTTCCAATTGTGCTAGTTGACTATTCAAAATATTTTATACACAGTCTTCTTGCGTCTTACCTTGGACATGGTGTTAAATTCACCCATTATGTTATACTTAAATCTTGTAGAAATTATTAATTGGATACGACTGTATCATTTCGCAACTAAACACTCAGAGGGCACGTCGTTTTAATACCACGGAGATATCGAGGTATCACTTAGGTTATGAAATGCTCTGTTTGTGACACAAAAACATGATAAATTGATTCTAAAAATTACATTGCATAATTTTGGTTGGCCAAGCGTTATAGCCGCTCCCCGGGACGACTTTGCCACGACTAATTTAGTTTTGTCTCCCGCCCTTCGAAGAAAGAAGGGGGCCATTAAAATGGACCTGTCTGTCCGTCTGTCTGTCCGTCACACTTTTTGGGACACAATAACTCTCTTCCTAATTGAGCTAGAATGTTCAAACTTGGTGTATGTGTTTATTAGGTCAATGCCTTGATGGAGTTCGAAGATGAGCATTTTCCGCTTAGGGTAAGCAGAGATAAGCAATTTGATTGGTTGATGCTTTGGGACACGATAACTCTCTTCCTAATTGGGCTAGAATGTTCAAACTTGGTGTATGTGTTGATTAGGTCAATGCCTTGTTCTAATTGGGCTAGAATGTTCAAACTTGGTGTAGGTGTTTATTAGGTCAATGCCTTGATGGAGTTCGAAGATGAGCATTTTCTGCTTAGGGTAAGCAGCGATAAGCAATTTGATTGGTTGATGCTTTGGGACACGATAACTTGAGTTCTAATTAAGTGAGAGTGATGAAACTTGGTGTATAGTTTTATTACATCAATACCTTGACTAAGTTCGATAATAAGCATTTTCTGCTTATGGGTAAGCAGAGCGATAAGCAATTTGATTGGGTGAGACTTTGGAACACATTAACTCTCCTTCTAATTGAGCTAGAATGTTCAAACTTGGTGTAGGTGTTTATTAGGTGAATGCCTTGATAGAGTTCGAAGATGAGCATTTTCTGCTAAGGGTAAGCAGAGATAAGCAATTTGATTGGTCGATGCTTTGGGACACGATAACTTTAGTTCTAATTAAGTGAGAGTGGGGACACTTAGTGTATAGGTTTATCTCATCAATACCTTGAGTAAGTTCCATAAATAAGCATTTTCTGCTTATGGGTAAGCAGAGCGATAAGCAATTTGATTGGTCGAGACTTTGGAACACAACTCTCCTTCTAATTGAGGAAGAATGTTCATACTTGGTGTAGGCATTCATTATGTGAATGTCTTGATGGAGTTCGATGATAAAGCTTGTCTGCTTACGGTCAGCAGAGATAAGCAATCTGATTGGTTGATAACTTTGGTTTTAATTAAGTGAGAGTGATGAAACTCTGAGTATAGATTCGTTATATCATTACCTTGACTAAGTTTGTTAATGAGAATTTTCTGCTTAGGCTAAGGATCGATAACTTTGATTCTATATGATAGAGAGTGATCAAACTTAGTGTATAGGTGATAATTTGTTTGATTGCTTGATACTTTTGAAAAAAAATAAATGTGCGATTAATGAATATGTGTCATCTATTTATTTTGGGATTTCGGCGGGGGACATCAGCCTCACTGTTGGCTTGTTATTTTCCATTTGACATTATGGTATCCATAAATCTCTTTTTATTTCAACAATTCCTTCAATTTTCATTTGCAGTCATCAATCTCTGTATTGGCAAATTAGAACTGAAAGTGACAACAAAGTGATTTCTTTAAGCACGGATCCCCATTTAATCACCAACACAAACTGTATAAATCGGCTTCAGATATATGATGGTAGGTACACAATATTCGTTTAATTCCCTTCCCAGTCCCCGAAAGCAAAAATGATTTATGTCGTGATATTGATCCTCAGAACATTTGGATCCTGATTTTCTGAAAACCTTGTGAACATGATAAAAGCTATATTATTTAACGGAAATATTTTATATTAGGTTTGAAGCATTTTGGCCACAAGAAGATGAATCCTATAAATTCTCAGCGTTTGACAGCCTATGATCAGTGACTTTCCGTTCCGAAGTTACCCGCCTTTTCCGAAAACCCTTTCAACGCGATAAAGGCTACCGTTTGTTTTTCTAATTCGATGCGAAACATTAGGACAATGAGAGGATTAACCCTATTGATTTTTGCTGGGGGTTTCGATTCCCCGGTTGTACATGACAAGGAGTAGGGTCGCCTGTCCAACCTCGTGGGTTTTCTCCGGGTCCTCCGATTTCCTCCCACTGTTAAAGACCCCCACGCGCAAGCGAATTATTGAAATAAAATTGAACCATGTGTTAATCCCGGAATGACCTAGTTTGTGTCGAGTGGACGTTAAACCTCATCTCTCTCTCTCTCTCTCTCTCTCTCTCTCTCTGATTTTTTCTGTTCTCCGTTCATCTATTGCATAATGGTGATTCTAGGACCAAAATGGGCTCGGTCATCGTTTGCACAGAATTTTGAGACGTGTGTGATGACTCGGTGACCAGGACACACATGATGAGAGGCTTAAGGAAAACGAACATTTTGCGGTTTGTAATCTATTAGAAAATATTAATTTGAAGCTTATAAAATATATTTAAGACTCAAACTTTTTCAAATGTTTTAACAGGGTCAGATAGCCGTGGTGATGTCATATCTAGCTGGTGTTTAGGAACGAAGGAGAGTTATGTATCAACTGGTAATGTTATGTATTTAACCCTCCAGTCACACAACACTATCCCACCTTTCAAACTATTAGTATCACAGAGAAATAAAGGTAGGCGTCTTTTTATTGCCCCACGCCTTTCGATGAGAAAGCAGGGGACTATTAAAATGGGTCCGTCCGTCGGTCCGTCCGTCCGTCCGTCAGTCTGTCCGTCACACTATTTTGGACACAATAACTCTCCTTCTAATTGAGCTAGAATGTTCAAACTTGGTGCAGGTGTTTATTAGGTCAATGCCTTGATGGAGTTCGAAGAGTAAGCAGAGATAAGCAATTTGATTGGTTGATGCTTTGGGACACGATAACTTAAGTTCTAATTAAGTGAGAGTGATGAAATTTAGTGTATAGTTTTGTTACATCAATACCTTGACTAGGTTTGATAATGAGCCTTTTCTGCTCAGAGTAAGCAGAGTGATAAGCAATTTGATTGGTCGAGACTTTGGAACACAATTACTCTCATTCTAATTGAGCTAGAATGTTCAAACTTGGCGTATGTGTTTATTACGTGAATGCTTTGATGGAGTTCGAAGATGAGAATTCTCTGCTTAGGGTAAGCAGGGATAACCAATTTGATTGGTTGATGCTTTGGGACACGATAACTTTAGTTCTAATTAAGTGAGAGTGAGGACACTTGGTGTATCGTTTTATCACATCACCACCTTGTCTAAGCTCGATAATGAGCATTTTCTGCTCGGGATAATCAGAGCGATAAGCAGTTTGATTGGTCGAGACTTTGGAACACGAAAACTCTCCTTCTAATTGAGGTAGAATGTTCAAACTTGGTGTAGGCTTTCATTAGGTGAATGCCTTGATGGAGTTCGATTATAAGCAGAGATAAGCAATCTGATCGGTTGATGCTTTGGGACACAATAACTTTGGTTATAATTAAGTGAGAGTGATGAAACTCCGAGTAAGTTCGATGATGAGAATTTTCTGCTTAGGCTAAGGAGCGATACGCAATTTGATTGGTCAAGACTTTGGAACATAATTAACAACTTTGCTTTTAATTGAGGTAGAATGTTTAAGCTTGATGTAAATGTTCATTAGGTGAATGTCTTGACTGAGATCAATGATTAACATTTCGAGCTAAAGCTAAGCAGAGATAAGCAATTTCATTGGTTGATGCTTTGGAACAAGATAACTTTGATTCTATCTGATAGAGAGTGATGAAACTTAGTGTATAGTTAATAATCAGTTTGATTGCTTATACTTTTGAAAAAAAAAATCTGCGATTAATTAATATGTGTCATCTATTTATTTTTGGGATTTCGGCGGGGGACATCAGCCTCACTGTTGGCTTGTTTCAAATTACAAGATGACATAGTGACGCTTAGTGAATGTTGTACAAATGTATTTAATTGTAATAATCAATGTCAACTTTTTCTTATCATTGCTTCTTACACTTTGGCACTGGATCCTATCTAGACACAAGTTCAAATGCACTCTCGGTTTTAAACGATTTCCGATAATTACCGTCATAGTTGAAATTGATGCACAATATGTCTGTTCAGGAAGACATAGAAGTCTGTTGTTCATCAATGATTTCTATCTGAGTGATCACTTAGGAAAGGCATGGGTCATTTTTATTAAGATAAAGAATCCTATTGAATTGGAAGCTTTCCGATAATTACAGCAACATATAGTCAACTTAAACTCCCAATTCCTCTGCTAGAATATATCGACGTTTATGTAAGGATGGTGCTCTATATTGGCTAGGGTATGCCTTCCTCCCTAGAACACCCGATGCCACTTTTTATTTGAGGATTTCACATAGCTAATACGCTCTTGTTTTAATTTGATTAAAACGAAAAACATACATATTTACTACAAATTTTCAGTTGAATGTTCCGAGGGAAGTAGACCTGCCACGACAGCTTTCCAGTATATAACTTCACCATTCTATCCTGGCCATTATCCAAAGTAAGTATTGGTTGATTTATTGTTATCATTATTATCTACTTTATTTAGCGGTATATTAGCAGTCATATTTAAACATTTGCTGTTACATTGGTCATTTGAGACAATGCTCTATTATCTGATAAAGATGACCAAGAGGAATTGTTCAAGGGATTTCGTTAGAAATATTGATGTTACTTTATTTACAATGTTGCTGTTGTCCCATGACAACTGAAATATGGTGTGCTATGATAGTATACTGTATGAGGAATCAGAGAAAAAC